AGTCAGAGGCTGATCAGACTCTTGAGCTAAAGATTTTTGTCAAGCAATTGATGAATCATTCAAACTTTATCTGGTTTGCTCTCATGAACTTAATACAAGTGAGTACCTATGAAAGAAAGACTTCATGAAAACACGAACCACACTCAAAATCTCGAGTTTTCCCAATTATTGGGAGGGACCTAGAAATAACATTTGAAACGGGAAAGAAATGAAGGAAAGATATTCTTAATTTCCAAAGCTGTAATTCCCCATTGATACAAAGAACCGCTTTCAAATAAGCAAAAATGGCTAGATGAAAAAATTGATTTATTTAATTTAAGTTATTTCAGAGCCCTTTTCGTAAACAATGTCATAACGCAGCTCATAAATCAACAATGAACCCATAGAATTTCCCCGTAACACAAACATTTTGCTATGCATAATGGCGATTGCCATACCATGCCCACTATTTCAAACTTTAATTCAATAGTCGACGCACGCGTGAAAATCGTTAAACTGCAAATAGGAAAGTGGTTTCTTTGAGCGCTTTGATTATAGTCAGTCGGGGCGTGGGAAAACTGTATCCAGCCGCCTTAAGTGCAAACTTGGCGATGAAGTTCAAAGGGTTTCCTTTAGAGTTGAAGACCTAAAACTGACTGGCTTTCTCTCTCTTGCAGGTGTTTCACTGCCATTTCAACAGTAACTTCTTTCCTTTGTTTCTCGACAAGCTACTGGGAGACTCAATTTCTCCTCAGACAGGCGCCATTTTGTTGGGTGTGTCCTTTGTTGCTCCTCATATCAACAACCTATATTTCCTGGGTCTTTGTCGTCGCTTTGGAGTGTACACTGTAATCAAGTGGCTGTTTTACGTTAAGCTTTCTCTTAGCGTGATCATGCTCATGGTCGGTCCCAATTGGCCTGGTTTGCTTTGTTTTTACATAGCGAGGTAAGATCCTGTTGCCACTGACAGAAGTTCTTGGTGTACGAGTCTTGATCGAGTTGTGATTTTTTGTTCACATGAAGACCGAGCCGAAGTTGTATACAAGTACAGCATTATCTGTTAGAGCATATTAAGTTGCAGCTTGCGATCTCCTATTTAAAGTCCGTTGTCGAGGACTGAATAACGTTAGATTTGATGCTCTCCCGCGTTGCTGAAGATTGCGGTACAAAGACCTTAAAGTCCCTCTCTATGACATTAAGATCACTGTCTCTCTGTTTTTCTGTAGGCAACTGCTTTCAAAATTATACTTAAACTGATTGATTCAAGCTCATCCTTAGAAACAAATATCTGTAGTCACTTCGGGCTGGTTATTTACACGTGGTTTAACCCAAACCGCGGTTTCCACGCAAGCAGTGGGTCTCAGCGATTTTTTATATGAGAGTTGATTTGATAAAATAAATGTCATTCCACCATTAGCCTTAAGTCCTCTTGACACTGTTCACAAAAATAAATGTTCAAGTAAACGGTTCGGCTAAACTGAAGGTGGCTTAGAGCGCAGTTTTGTTAAAAAAAAAAAAGGTGTTGAAGTAACCGTCCCATTCAGTTTTACTTATAACAGGTAGAGCCCCTTAATTAAGGGATGACTGATTGACTGATTAGTGTTCGTTGTATTTCAGTAATCGCGTTTTCACCGAGGGAACATGCAAACTTCTTAATCTGATCATCAGTGACCTCGTGGACGAAGACTTTGTTCTTCACAATCGTAAACAAGCTATATCAGCGCTGATATTTGGAACTTCTGCACTCTTCTCGAAGCCTGGCCAAACACTAGCTCCTCTGATAGGAACATGGCTTCTGGCGAAACAAACAGGCCATTCTCTCTTTTACTCAGACGATCTTTGGGCGTCTTCATCCACCGACAGAACTAGTTTCCACGACAGTGCAAATAGCTCTTTACGCTGGGGCTGCTTTTATGTACTTGTTTACGTGCCTATTGCGTGCGCGTGTATTCAGATCCTCGCGTGGACGAGGTTTAAACTTCACGGAAGCAGATTGCAATGGGTAAAACAAATGCGCGAAGGACGCTGGTTCCCTTTTGCAGAGGTTTAGAACATTTTAGAAAAAAAGAGGGTTTTAAGTAATATACCGTAGATAAAACCAGAGAAATTGTTCTGGCGAACAAGGGCAAACGAAGCTGTTATTTGAAAATTAAAGGACTCAATAAGGAGTCAAATCAAATAGGCACAAATGGAGCCAGCGCACTGGGTTTTCAGGCGTTTTTTGCTCTCCGTCGTGTTGTTATTTCTGAGAAATGAATTATGAAAGAGAGGGTAACAAGTTATTTCTTATCAAGATAAATATATTTTGGAAATTCTTGTTATAAATAGAAGGGTATATAGAATACAAAGTATCTTAATGAACACAGTAGTTTTTCTTTAAACATCGTGTTTGATTCTCTCGGTTTTCTTTGTAGAGGGGTAAGTTTCTAAACAAACTGTGGTGCTGCGTCGGTAGGAGAGTGTAACAAGGAAATTTGGTATTATCAACTGAGTTGATAACGTAAATTGGCTAAGATAAAGAGTTTCAAAGCTGACGTTTCGAGCGTTGGCCCTTCGTCAGAGCGTAGGACGCCGGTCAATTTGCTCGCTCTGACGAAGAGCTCACGCTCGAAACGTCAGCTTTGAAACTCGTAATGGTGGCCAATTTATGTTGTCAACTCAGTTAATAATAGCAATTATTTTTGTAGTGGACGTTCGTAAGTAACTATGACAGACACATAAAGCCAGGAATACGTGACTGAGTCGGTGAACAACCTTTACTACAGAAGATGGGTTTACTAAGTTTGAGGAATCCTTTTAATCTTGAAACCTCTGTGCGACGCTTTTTGATCGAGTGGATTATCACTGACCCACTTAAGTGAACATTATGCTAATTGTTCCTACGATTTTAAAACACAGTTGACCAAGTTTTGATTTGGTCTAGTTTTGCATCTGATTGGGTGGATGCTGGAGAAGTCAGAACTCGCGGTAGCTTCCTGTCAACCAGTTGATCACGGAATTTAGTGGGAAAAACTAACGCAATCCCGTATCCCTTTCGATATAATGCTGAACTGTTGATCAATCTAGGTGTTGAATCAGCTCCAAACGAGAAGGGCTGTCTAGCGATTTCCAGTTAACTCCCATCGGCTAATGTCACAGGTTATTATTTACTTTGGCTTTTTTGTTTGTTTTCTTCTTTAACTTTTTCTATCCATCTCGTAATTTGTGACCATTTTTCACGTGAGCGTAGCCCGGATTAGCTAAAACTAAATCACTCTATCTACCTTGCTTGAACTGATCTGCACAAAGCAGGTTTTTCGTTGACCACTAAAAACACGAAACGTTTTATTTAAAGACAGTAATTGACAAGCACAAGAAAAATCATGTTCATTTCCGGTTTCTACCTCTTGCCACAGTTCAAGCATAGTCTTAAAGTGGAACTAAAGTGAAAGAGTTAAGAGCTTTAACCATAATTAAAGATTCCAACGTCCAACCAAAGATTTTAAGTAAGCCAGCGTGGTTGTATGATAAAACTGAAAAAACTAAGATGTGTTGCGTCCTGGCGAAATGTCTTTGAACAATCCGTTTTAGTTGGGAGACTAACTTAACTCAGGGAAAGAGAGAGGACTGAAGAGCCTGGAAACTAGCGAGAGGACAAGAGCTAGGTCAGAAAAATGGCGACTGCCCAGCGAAGAAGTGCAGATACTTCACCTTATCAAAGGTTGGAAAAAGAAGCCGAGTGCCCATTGTGTCACCAAACAGTAGAGGAACCCAAACGGCTACCTTGTAACCACTCATTCTGCCTAAAATGTCTCAACAGACAAGCAGTGGATGCAACAGTTGACGGGAGATCAGACATCAACTGCGTTGCTTGTCGATCGTTTGTCAGGATTCCCGGCAAAGGTACATTTGACGAACTTCCAACTCCTTTCTACCTCAACAGACTAGCAGAAGTTGTTTCCGTTGCAGCCTCCGATTCTTGCGAGAAAACTTGCTGGATGTGCAACCAGAGCAAAACCTTGCGTTGCTACTGTTTTGAGTGCCAGAAATTTATGTGTGAATCTTGTGAAAACAATCGTAAGTGTGGAACTTTAGCCCAATCTCATCGTACCGTCCTGATCCAGGATCTCACAGAACAAGATTTTGAAAGAATCATCCGAAGACCTGTCATGTGTAAAACGGAAAAACATGAGAAACTAGTTGTAGAATTTTATTGTCACGACTGCAAAGTTTGTATTTGTAAACTATGCGTGATTGAATTTCACAATATTCATGATGTCGAAGGCATCGAGCAAGCCTCAGAGAAAAGCAAAGTGAACGTGATGGATTCTGTTAAGAAGCTCAAGAATGTATTGAGTGATTGTGAAACAGAGATTGAGAGACGTAAAAAGGGTGCTCTTAGAATGGAACGTAACATAAAGGCAGTTGAAGAGGAGGTTCACAAGAACGTTGAAGAACTTATCATGAAACTGAGGTTATATGAACAGGAAGCTCTCGCAACATTACAAAACCTGGGAAATAAAAATCAAAGTGCCTTTAAAGAGCAACAAGAAAAAAATGAATCACGATTAGCAATGTTGAAAGATTTTCTTTCCTATGGGGAAACGGTGTTGCAAAGTGATTTGCCCCTTCCAGTTCTGGATGAGCACTTCACCTTTGTAGAACAGTTTGGACAGACTTTACAGGTTGAAGATGAGGATAGTTTTGAACCACTTCATGTTGATTATGTCCCAAATGAGGAATTCAAAGAAGTATTGAAGGCTAGTTTAGGTAACATTGTTGTTCGTTCCACAGACATGACAAGATCTATGCTTCAGGGAAGCTTCTCAAAGACAGTGATGAAAGGGGAGGAGACTTGCTTCACAATCATTACAAAAGATCAAGATGGAGAGAGTATCTATTGTGAAGATGATTTGGTTGTTGTCAACATTTCAACCTCTACAGAGGAAGAGTTATATAAAGAAATAGAAGACAATCAAAATGGTAGTTACAAAGTGACCTGCATCCCACAAAGTAGTGGCAAGCACAAGGTATCCGTGGAGATTAATGGTGAACCACTGGCTGGGAGTCCGTGGACATTTGATGTAATCTCACCTGGTGATCTCACTTGAGTTATATTTTTTCCTTTATAACAATAAGAAAATGTCTATGAGGCATCATTGTACATTTGCTTAACTATGGAAGGTACCTATAGTTGAAATACAATGTGTATAGTGGAAAAACAAGGTTCTGCTTAATTGACTATGCTTGAGGTTCCACATTTTTAATAAACAAAATATAGAAATTTATTGCATGGCAAGGTATTCCTAAAGTAAATCCAAGTATTCTGACCTGGTCTGTATTTTGCTATACAGCCCATTTCCATGGAAACAGTCATAAGGCATGGTACTTCTGGTCATAAAAGCTGGAAAATTTAAATCAAACAAGTTTGGTCTGAGTGCCATATAATAAACTACTTACTAAACTCGCTTGATGCAAACTGGGGAATATTGAATCTTGTTCATTTTCATGTGTACCCTAGTGCACTTGATACTGCCATGACCTTGAGCCAATATTCCCCAGAATGGCCCCAGCACTTGGCAAGTAAGAAATTAACATAGATAGATAGACTTGAGTCTAGTTCTTTCTGTAGAATAAGAAATGAATCACTGAAATACTCCAAAACATTTGAGTCATAATATTTTCAAAAGAATTATCAGGCATTTGTATAGTACTGTTACCTGTAAACAGGCATTTTCATATCAAAATGTAGTCTCAATTAGTTAGCTATTAATACGAGACAGAAAAAAAATAGTATTACATTAAGTTGGAATAAGTCCCAAAATTTTGCTATCTGTTAAACCAGGGTTAAAGAGAAATTTTCAATTACAGGTGGAAAGAAATATAGTGGTTTTGCTATCCTTTGTTTTTTGCTAGTTTTAGCCAGAAAACCTACTCCACTCGCTCAACCAGTCAGATTCAAAACTACAGCCGCCCGCGCCAAGCTTTCCTACTTAAAACTATATTGGTTTCCAGACCCTTGGTCGGCAAAGTAACCCAGTAATTGCAGTAATGAACGAAGAAGCCCAATGTTGGTAACGAGATAAATTTGAGTGTTTTCTTCGATCCCCTGAAGGAGATCTTATCACAAATACCACACATCAAAAGAATCTCATTTTTACCTATGGACAAGATTACGGGAAACAAAAAACGACTAGATTTCCGTCGTTCTAGTATCAAGCATCAGTTATCATCGAAGCAGACTTTTTCTGCCTAGGGTTTCTTTCATTGCCGTTAAGCACGTGTTCAGTCATCTCTAGTCGAGATAAGAATTATTTCATTCCATACTGTTCCCGGCGTTTTGTCAGGATTCTGAGAAAATTCGGCGGCAGCCGCTCCGACTTCTGGGTGGAAAGAGGCACTGGATAAAATGTCTCTCTCAACAAAATTACCTGACTTATTTCACTCATGAAGCTAGACTGACCCTGACCCCAGAACTAACCACGCAATCACCACAGATCAAGGGACTTCACAGAACGCCATGGCTAGACTATTGTAAGAGTAAAATACATGACAGGGTTATTGGCAAAATTTACCAACGTATTTTTAATAAGGGTTTATTTAGGGTTATTCATCGTGTACTTTAGGGATTTACTTAAGGGAGTCGGATATGCATCATTCATCTTGCGCATTTTATTTTAACTTATGGTTACATACTGTAATAAAAGGTATATTTAATCGTAATAATGATAAAGTCAGGCGTTAGCTGAGTCTTTCAATTATAAGACCAACAAATTACTCTTTCGTTAGATCGCAAATAGGTTATTAAACTAGCTGTACTAATGTAATCTTTGGACCAACACTAGTTCGGGGAACAATCAGTCTGGCTTTCGATTTGGATTGTGAGAAGGAAAGAGATACACGAAGCCTGTATTGGTTTAGTTGATCTCATAGGGTGTTTTCAGCTGACGTAAGTCCCTATGAAAGAAACTCAGTTTATTTTAGGCTGTGAAAAACTCACACTTTATGTCCCGATAAATTTCATTATTTTTTCATTTTCGACACAAAATTCACCAGCTGTGAGGACGAAAAAATTGTACCTCATCCCTTCCTAGTTTCACGCAAAATTGAGAAAAGACATAGTTATTAGGAAATACTCTTGATCCCTCAACTTCCTTTTCATCGGCAGAAAATGCCTTTATGTGCGCTGAGATCAATTGAATTGTCAAATCAGTTTGTCGCACGCATCCCTTACCATTTGAAATTTGATAATTTTCTTGGAATCCCCCAAAAAATCCTATAACAATCTCAAAAGAACTCTAAACAAGGATGCAGATTTACCAAACGTTATATCATCGATTCCCTTTTGAATATCCTACTGACTAACGCTTGGTTTTTTTTTCCACACGCTCTTTTCAAAACTTATAGAGACAAAAATCTGGAGTACAATGGAATATAGAAAAAAATGAAATCCGTAAAATGAAGTCAAAAGAATTTTATAGAGGAAATTCCTTTAGTTTATTAAACTGGTGTTGGAACATGGAAAATGAATCATCAGGTATATGCGAGGAACTCTGCATGTGGGCTACATAATCTGCGACCTTATCTATGTGGGTAAACTTTGAAAAGCTTCCTAAAACTTTGGTTCTAATTTGTGCAACGACATAAATCAAACCTGTAATAAGATAACTTTCACATAATTTATTCAATTTTTCCTTAATACATAGCTAGATTAAAGAGTAGTTGAAGAAAAAAAGACAGTCAAAGAGATGGTAAAAAAAAGTTCTGAAAGCTTTTTGCAAGATTAGGCAACACCTGTAGACAAAGTCAACAACACCATTTGTTAAAGACAGTGTTCGTTTACTCTTACTTCACCCTTCTACAAAGAGAAAATTCAGTTCTTGTGTAAATAACCAACATCTTGGCATACTGTGCTTGATAACCAACTAAAAGGTTGTAGATACAATACATGTCAACAACAAACAATACAATTTTATTCTCCATTTATAGAGAGAGAGTATGATAAATATCATAACATAGTCATAAATCCTAGATGGTCCACATCACAAGATAGATAAGTCAATTTAAAATGCTTGTCTTAGATAGCGTTGATTTAGGATATTTCTGAATAAAAAAACTGTTTCACAGGTCAATTTGAAATTCATTTGTGTTATATCTGAAAAAAAGCCGTGATGTCTGACTCCTTTATATACCTTGAGGTATCCAATAACAATAACAATGATTTCCCGACCCAAGTCTATGCTCCCGAGATTAACTATGTAAGTTAGATATTGTCATAAAAATGGAGAACAAGAAAGTCCTTCGTGTTTCTAGATATAATGCACAGTGTTTTTTTACACTTATGGAGGATGCGAGGGCGTATAAAGCAGAATGCAATGTTTGGCAAAAATATCGCTCCCTGAACAACTATTTTTACACGTGCAGCTCGTGAGGGACATGCTTGAACAACTGATGCTACTTCATGGTGGATCGTTGTCAACGGAAACGTGCACCTTGAAAAAATACAGACAACAGGTGTTGTATACAGTTCAACCCCACATGGGGCTTACGCTATAAAAATCACAGTTAGTATTTCAGTACCCCTAAGGACAGTTTCTAGCTGTAAGAGCATCACTGAGTATTAACGATGAAATTGGTGTTGATCTCTCTGCTCCTTGGCTTTGCGCTAGTTTTCCAGCCTACGGCTTCAGAGTACATCCGTGGATGTTACTACACCAACTGGTCTCAGTACCGACCCAAAGGAGGAACCTTCTGGCCTGAAGACATCGATCCATTCCTATGTACCCATGTGCTCTTCTCCTTTGCACAGGTCAGCCGCGCGACTCACACATTGGAGATCTACGAAGAAAACGACCACGATCTGTATGGAAGAATCAATGCACTCAAGAAAGTCAACCCAAAGCTGAAGACTCAAATCGCTGTTGGCGGCTGGACCCATGAAGAGAAAGACAGCCCATTTTCTAAGATGGTGGCTACGAAAGAGAAACGTGCGATTTTTATCAAGTCGTCCATCGACACTCTGAGGAAGTTTGGATTTGACGGTCTGGACCTAGACTGGGAGTATCCTGGGATGCGCGGTGGATCTCCCAAGAGCGACAAGGGAAGATTCACTCTTCTTTGTCAAGAGTTAAGAGCTGCATTCGAGGCAGAAGCTAAAGCGACTGGGAAGGAGCGCTTGCTGTTGACTGCAGCGGTGGCGGCAGGACTTTGGACTATCAAAGGCGCATACGACATTGCTGCTATTGCCGAGCCCCTTGACTGGATCAATTTAATGACTTATGATCTTCACGGCACGTGGGAATACAAAACAGGGCATCACGCTGCTATGGGGCCAGAAGGCGACAAGCTAACCCTCCCCTTTGCTGTGTGGTACTGGATGAACAACAGGGACACGTGGGAAAAGCCGGGAATCAGGAAAGGGATGCCAGCTAACAAGATTGTCCTCGGTCTAGCTACGTACGGACGCGCGTTTGGATTATCAAGCCCAGCAACGAATGGCCTTGATGCGGCACGAGATTACCAGTACACCCCCAAAGGAAAGTTCACAGGCGCGGAGGGGTTCCTGGCTTACTATGAGATCTGTAAAATGGGACTGACTGTTGTAGAAGACAACAAGGCCATGGCACCGTACGGTTACAAGGGTAAGGATTGGGTGGGTTTCGACAACCCGGCAAGCTTGATCTACAAGATCGACAACGTGGTAATGAAGAACGCACTACGAGGTGTTATGTTCTGGGCGATTGACTTGGATGACTTCTCTGGGGAGCACTGCGGGCAAGGCAAATACCCACTGATGAACGCCGTCAAGAAATACCTTACATCCGGGGTACAACCACCTCCAGTTACCAATCCTCCTCCACCTGTGACAACGCAGGCCCCACCTCCCGTCCCAAATACCACACAAGCGCCTCCGCCTCCCCCTGTCACTACTGAAGCTCCACCTCCAGTAAGTCCCACAACTCCAGGGGGAGGGGGTGCCGGAGGAAATTGCGTCGCCGCTGGCCCGTGGACTGGTAATGCCGGAATGGATGCTTGGTGTGCATCAAATTGTGCCAAGGGGAATTGTCCAGCAACGCATTGCAAGTGTAGCTGAAGACACACAAGGAATTCTTAAGTCGATGGCATTTTGCATGCATATCTTGATTTGGACAAGACAGTTAAGACTGAAATCTTAACAGTGTTGATGTCACTTAAAAGCCAATAAAAATATTTGCTGATATTAACCAGTTTGCTTATTATCGGTCAAGTAGGCTCCATTCCGTGCTTTTTTTTCCCCTCCAATCCCTTAAAAGACGTAGCAGTTTAGATCAAAAACGATTCTCTAGTTCATCATTTCAAAATTCACATTTTGTCGTTTATTCCTCAAAGAATGTTTCTTCAGGGCGCCTTTTTATAATTGTGCTATGCACGCAAAAATATTCAGTTTTCCACCATCAGATGGTTAAACGTGGAAAAACTCATTAGCTCCCACATTTTCGTCCTACTATTTTTTCACCAAAAGCTCTCCCAAAAACTGTCGTCCTCCTGTCAATCAATTAAATTATTTGGGATTCCGAATCATTTTCAAACGGATCATTTACAATCTGCGCACAAAAGGCATGGATTTGGATTTAGGAATCTCAGAAGCGAGAGTCAGTTTGTGATTACGATCTATCATTTACTGTTACTTATCGTTTTTTCTTTTTTCTTTTGCGCTTCTTTTCGGTGGAGGTTGGAAGATAGCTGATATCGTTGATGCTTTCATCCTTTTAAAACACCGTAAGAGATCTGGATTCATTGTCATGAAACGTCTTCGTGTTACCCAAAAATGCTTTTAAATCACAAAATTTTACAATTGCTAATGAAAAATTTAAGAATGCGAACTGAATGAGTGGGTTCAAAAGCACAAACGTATTACACAATTTCCAAGGAAAGGTAATTTCGCTGCTTCGTCATATGTTTTTCTTTAGATACTTGCAAAAACAGCAGTGCGTGTGTTTATGACAAGGATGACACTAAAAAAGGCATCCGAACGTTCTCTATTTGTCAAACATTCAAGAGCCTTCGCAGCTGCTTTACAGATGACCGTGAAAATCTAAACAGATTCTCACCATCTTCACAGAGGTTTGACAGACATTTCAACCTTTTATTTGACCAAACTGGTTGTTATGGTCATATTTTCATGATGTAATCTTGATTGCGACCAAAGAGAACTGAACACACTCTCGAATGTAATCCCATGTCTGGAAGAGAACAGTTCCATTTAAGCCTAAACTATACAAAAAAGGGGTCATGTAAGGTCATCAAGAAGTCTTACCTAAGAATGATCTAATTCAATTCAAAAATCTCGCATGGTCACTTTTCTCTCTGCAGTATTCAGTCATTTGGCGGTGGAAGGACAAACAAATTCATACGCCCTTGGGGATTCCCTTAAACGCTTACCCGTTTAAGATCATAAGGGTTGAAAATCTTTACCGCTAACCCCTTTGCAGGAGAGGAAGTCAGTTTTTCAATCTTTCCGTACATTTTCATCAGAGAAGCCAGTTCCATGACACCATGATAATACGAAAAAATGCAAAATTATTTTCGCAATGATTTTTATCTCGCATTGCATCAAAATTTAATTTTAAGCAACTATCTACCAGGGCCCAGTTGTTCGAAGGTTGATTAGCGCTAACCCAAGGTTAAATTTTGATCTGAATTTCTCTATTCCTTTATTCAAATGCCTTTTTAGGATAGTTTCTGGTGTTCTTTATAGAGCATCAAATAATCATATTCTTGACAAAAAAAATCCGACTGAATTTTCTCTAAAGCCATCAGATCTGAAATCAGATTTCACACTAACCCTGGGTTATCTTAACCTAGCTTTGAACAACCCGGCCCAGAGAAACAAATTTTCTGAGTCTTCTTGAGAGTTGTCTGTACTATTTGAACGAAAACTTGAATCTGAATTCTACGTGGACAGGTGAAGTAGTTTATTATTCTTCCATTTCAAATTAAGCCTCCAAAGCTATCCGTTCCTTCTACTGGCGGGCCGGGTTCGATCAGGGGAGGACGCTCGGCTGAATTGGATCCAGTCCCCTGTCTACTAAATTTTCCATCATGGCTGCTAGTGCTTCTCAAACACGTGTGAAAGAAGAAGTGGAGAGATCGATAGAAAAGCTGGAAAAAGAAAAGCTGAGAGGGCTTCAGGTCAGTCATTAGTCAACTGCTCTATATGTAGTCAGCTAATAAATATGTTTTAATGAAATTTTTTTTGAAATATGAAGAATTTTACTCGGATTCGAGGTCGGCTTTCCCACTATTCTGCCTGATCAAACCCAGATCCTGGCAAATTTATAAACGATTTCTTCGTCACAATGTTGCCTTAGACTGACATTAGCCTAAAAGATATGTTGATAGTTCAATTTTTCCAGAATGCGCACTGTTTTGCTAAAACATCTTCACGAAAATATTGTTCGGCCAGTGACGCCCCCACTACAATATTGGCTTTACCATGATTTTCCTTATTCTGTATTAACGAGATGGCTAACATTAGAATTTTCCAAAATTAAGCGAATTGTCTCAAGTGTTTGTCGTGAATTCTAAAATATCCTTTGGAACGCCTCAGCTTATCTAAACTAGGGTCACCAAAGGTGCGTATAATCGGTTGTATTTTACAAAATGTGAACTCTCTGAAACTATATTGCACTTTCACCCTGATGGAAGATTGTACATTATGCAGCCAAGTGATATGGTTACTGTTTGTTTTGACATACTTGTACATGGGGTTTAGCAAAGAGAATGATAGAGTCATCATCTATTTTGTCATCATTTTACTGATTCTCAGTAAATAGGTAGGAATGTATGAGAAACCAGTAAAAAAAACACAGAAAATACAGAAAATGAGATGAACAACTACAATAATGAGTAACATGGCCAATAAAAAATGATACCTAGAATCCAGGCAGGAATTAAAAGAAAACTAAAGAAAGATAGTACTATACAAAATGAAGGCAAACATTTAATTTGCTACTGAAGAGTATTTCAGTTTATTAGCAAAAAAAAAACCATGTTGTGATAATGTTAGGTTACCTCTGTGATAGTGAACTGAAGCATACAGAAAGTTTGCTCACTTTTGTTTTTGTTTTTGTCTTTTTGTGGCATTTTTTCTTTGGAATTATGGTTGATTACAGAAAATTCACTCATGAAACTTTTTTCAACCAGTACAACAAAATTGAATTGCCACACTTTGATGGGTGAAAAGTAGCTAAATGAAAGGAGCAAATTGTAAGCTGTGAACATATGATACTTCTCTGGGGAGCATGGTAAATGTTGGGGATTTCTTTTTTGATAAAGGATTCTCTTCACATTTACATGAAATAAGTCATATTTTGACATGCACGTGGTAGCAAGGAAAAGTATGATCCTCTCAAGTGAATTGCAATTAACCATGTACACCCAAGCATCAATATGCATACTCTTCATACTGCTCCCTATACATTTCCCAAGTCCTCAAGTCAAGGAGAATTTTTTTAACAACCAAAAGTTTTTCTAGTTAGTGATCATTTGTCATATTCTTGTGACCCTAGTGTGTGACTCAGAGTGTGATGTTGTAAAGAGAAATTAGATGCTAATCACTCTTAGAGATTGAAGGTTTAAAGAAATATGTTTTACAAACTTTCTCTTTGTTGTCTTTCCAAATAGGCTAAGTCTCACTTGTGTGCAGCTAAATGTTGTGAGAATTTAACACCAAGTAAGGAGGAAGTGCAACAATGTATGAACAGGTGTTTTGTTCCCATTCAACAAATTCAAGAATACCTCGGTAAAGAGCTTACTGGATTTCAGGTAAGTAGACTTTTAGTGTGGTTTGGAGGTGATTTTTGAATTTGGAAGGTTTGGAGCTAAAGTGAGAGAGTGACTTCAAAGTTTTCTCTGGAAATTCCCAAAACCAACCAAGTCAAGTGGCTTCCTTCAAATCAGGAAAACATGATTACTAACAATAATTTTTTTTGTATTGTTTTTTTTTTCACTTTTTATAGATTGTTTGTTTGTTTGTTTATTTTACTGTTATTTTTCATGACAGAGTAAGCAAACATTGTTGATATACCAAGTAACATCTTCTGGGCAATTTTTTTCCTATTAGACAATAAAAAAAGAGCTGACATGAGTATTTTGAAACTATGACAACAGCAAGATTGAAAGTGTGTCATGAAAAATAATGTAGCCAGCTCTGCTGATTTCCTATGTGACTCTGTAGGGTTGCTGTTAACTGTTATTGTTTTCCTGTATCAAGGATCGTCTTGGCCGTTGTGCTCAACAATGCCAGGACAAAATTCAAGACAATGTTGACCCAACTACTACACAGTCTGAATTGACTAAGTATCAGGCTGAACTGGACGTGTGCGTTGATCAGTGTTGTAAAACACATTTGGAACTCATACCAAAGATGTTTGAACGAATCAATAAAGTATTGTCACAAGTGCAAGATCCCAGCCCAAGGTGACACTGGTGTGAAATTTAGAATGGAAAATTAATTCATTAATGTCGTTGCAACAGTTTTTATTGGGAAATTGTAATTTCAGAATCTCAGTGATCTGCAAAACTTCATCTTGGAGTCAACTCACATTTCCTATCTGCTGTCTGTGGAGCCTCTATTTTTTGAAAGGACACTGGCAAGGCTTTTAGAAACCTTTAATCCAAAAGAGTGACGAGAATTTGATTTCTTCTTCTTGTATCATTGCTGAATCAAATATCAGGGTCATGAGAATAAAGGAGATGATTTGCAAGTAAAGAAGCTCTTGATTGTGGGACAAATTATCATAGTCAGTTTTGTAGAAAATGCATGACAAGAAGAATGTGCTTAAAGATGTTAAGTTGTAAGGGTTTACTGTGTTCCCAACGTAGAAGCCTCGGGGTGGAACCACTGCTTGGTCTTGACTGGAAAAACTTTTACATGGCTGTTGTATTTTGGTCTTTTATTGAAGGGACATTTTAAGTTAAGGGACGGTTTTTAGTGTCTGAGGTACCCCTCTCTGTTGGAGGTTGAAGTGATAAAACCTCTCCTTGAGACACCTCTTTCATTATCTTAAGTTGCCCCTTGGATAGATTTTCTCCTGATGAAACCTCTCTTTTAGACACCACTTCCAAACGCACATACCGTTTGGTCTTGATGGAAAATAATCTAAAAATATTTGCAGTTTCATGTTTAAGAAATTACTCCTCTATAGCGATATGTTACTTTGTGGATATCGAACTTAAATCTGGCAGTAAATCGTGAATAATTTCAACTGATATAAATCTTAGAACTTCGTTTTCCTTTCTTAATGGAATCCAGGAATCTTATGGTGGACTCAGTTGCTTGAACGATCTTTTGCTCAGTTGATTTCCATGCATTTTTTTATCTCCCTCCTCCTATTCCGAATTTTTGTGAACTTTAAACGTTAATACTTATATTTGTTCAATCTCTACTTCGAATTGTTTTTTATAACTTTTGTTCACAAAACTTTACTTTTCTACATTATTAGCATTGTCCAATTCTTCGCAATCAGGCGATTGAATCGAGTGATTTTAAAGTGAATAATGAAATGACGATTGAACTTCGCGTTATTCAGTTTTGGCCTGCAATCGTACTTGTGGTCTCAAATCGATTTTGAAAAACTAATTAGTATTCCGAGCAAACTGCGTTCCCCTGAGTTCAGTTATCATAGTGGTTGTAAATCTTGCACTCCATTCTCTAACTCGTTATTGTTCGCATAGCAAACGTGTTTTATTCTTTGCAAATGCTTTAGATCGTTGCTGATGATTTTGAAAAACAAACCTTGTATAGGGTTTCAAAGTAAATACGCTGCTTGACAGCATGAAATACAGTTTGATTAGTCATTAAGGCAGCGAATTTTTAACAGTCTTCGACGAAAGCCATTGATGATGGTGCCTCTTTTAAAGGCTGAAACAAAAGCTCTGGTATGTAACCTGTCTCTAGTTCATCCCCTGATTCCTCAAAGAATTCAAACTGGACGCCTTCACAATTGATCTCACTCATCGGCCCCTGTCCAAACCGCTGCAAGGTTTCTTCTGACGTAACAGTGATTGAATAGATGACATCGTTTTGTAATTTTATCCCTTTTGAAAATATGACGTCTTGCGTATCACTATCATCGTCGCGGTTATCAAGATTTGCTTGATGTGACGTCAGCACAGAATCCCTATCGTCACGCAACTCAACTCTAACACTCGATGAGGCTGATTGCGTGACAGCCGTAAAAAGTGCAATGCCCATGATGCTGATTGGCTGACTGACCTTGAATTTCACGGTGAATTGTTGTGGTGCGACTGTTGTCCACTTTGGGCGCAGCGCTGTTGATTCGAAACGCGTGCAGCGAAAGACCGCCTCTTGAAGAAGCCCAGCACGAGGCTCTGTTGGAAATTTAACGTTGCAAGACTGAAAGTTGGAGTTGAAGCCGATGTACATATTTGCTACTTCTTCGTGACTTAGATAAGATGACTGAGCCACATTTTCAGTGAATTCCTTCATACTCATCAACGGGAAACGAATGGAATAAAACGCATCCCCAAGAACCTCGCGTCTATTCTCAGCTGTCAACGGAAGTGACAATCGCTGGCATTCCCGCCCCGCCCATCTCACTGCTGCTTGGAAAAGTACCGTCTCCTTGGCAACTAAGCTGTCGCGTTTCAAGAAAGCAGTAAGCGTTCTGTGATCGATTTCTACGAATTGGTGATCTTGAGCTACTTCAGAAGCGTGTTGGTCGATGATTGTCCAACATTGTTTCTCCAGGCCATTGCTGACCCCAAGCAGACAACAATGGTCCAATACAGGAAGAGTGTTCGCGACAGTTAAGTTACTCGCGATGAATTCAGTGCAGATCTCCGCCAAGCTTGGAATAAGGTACTTCCGGGCTAAGAACAAGACTTCCGGCGCGTTATCAGTGGTCAGCTGTACTTCGTCGTAGTACATGTACCGGAGCATCTCCAGAAACGATTCCGGTTCACATTCTGATATTTCTACCTAAAATGAAAAATTTCAGGCGCTACCTCAATGGAAACTTAGTTGGCTATCAACCAGAAGTTGATAAAGGAACAGTCATTGTATAAAAAGTGTGTTCGTTCTAAGTTTTTTGACGAATCCTCGTTCTTGGATAGAAAATGCCTTCATAATTTTGGATCACTTCCGACAATCGTCTATACCATATCAAATACGAACAAAATGTACAGAAAGTTTGTTTGTTTGTTTGTTTGCTCATTTATTTGTTTATTTACCTGCTCTCGTGAAGTTACTTCAGCCTGAAGTGCCCCAAACGCGTAAAATAGCGAAGAAAACACCGGACTACTAATAGCCAGTACATACCGATGAGCCGGAATGGACGTTTTCTCTGTCCTGCCGACCAGAAAACGCACATCACTAAACAGCTCTCGGTTAAACATGTATTTGTTTCTTTCACGAAGGGAACTTCGACTGGTCTGCCACTGGTCATCTTCTCCAGTGTAACGCAGGCTCGCGCGTAGAGCCAATTTGCTGCCATAGTAGTCCATTCTAGAATCCAGTCGAGTCTCAATAACCGGACGATCCAGTTTTGAATCCTGTCTCGAGTCCAGTTTTTTAGGCGGAAACGCGTCCATGCCAACTTCACCCATCTACAATCGAAATAAAGATTAGATCGTGAGCAGCTTGAGATTTAGTATTACCAGGAGTTAGATTTTGTGGGGGTGGGGGGAGAGAAAGGAATATTTTCCCTCTAACCACTTTGTCTTTCAATTCTTCGGCGGTCACACAGACTCAGCGTATTATCGTGTTCAGGAACAAGTTGGCGAAGCATCCAACAGCGTCGTCCATGGTGAAAATGTTTTCACACTAATGCTGATTGATTGATAATGGTAAAAGGACTGAGTGGAGTCCAGTTCGGTCGGTAATAATACGAGTGATTAACACAATTGGACGACCGCGAAGCGGGAGTCCAATTTGTCAGTCACTCGTATGATTACAGACGGAATTGGATGACAAGAAGTCCTGTTACCAATTAATCATAACCGATTCAATTTCCAAAAACAGTAAATACATTTAGGTCAAATATCTCCGGTAGAGACAATGTCTAAAGTAAAAATATTTCTCCATTTTGGAAATTCTTCAATTTCTTTGTTTAGGATGTGGCTGTTGTTATGGTTATTGTGTTTAAATCTGTGATTGGTGGATTTGGCTGAGTGGTCATAGTATGATTGACTACTTCAACTGTCCGATCACAGGTATCTGATTACAGCCAACTGTCTGATTACACTGTTCGATTACAGCTCTACAGAATGATTAGTGAAAAATAAAGCAGCTAATACGCCAATCACGTTTGAGGAAATTGGTATGGTTATGATTAAAGAAAATAATAGAACTGATTTTATTCTTCATTCATTTTAACTTGGGCTCAACAATAAACTATTGTGAAATCTTTCTATTTAACTGTGATCACCTGCCTCAGAATCAGAGGTGAGCAATTAATTATCTGAACAAGCTATTCCTTTGTTTTGCTCTACTGAAGATCATCACCCGCTGAGATTTATAGCGTCTTTCGATGAAATTTTCGTAACGAAGAACCTTTAAACTGAAACATGTTATTTCAAGATCTAGTCATTCCCTGGCTCGCTCGTTTTTTACAATTTTGTTCTGTTTAGTTTAGAATTCTGCTAATGTGGATGAATCTTATGAAACTTTATCCGTGAATACCTTAATCGCTTAATAAAGAATGTCTGACAGCTTTTAAAAATACTGAGAAGACCTAGAACGAAATCATGATTTTAAAATGATTAAGCATCCTTTTATCTGTCGAATGGAAAGTATAGATTTAGACGTTAATTTTCAAACCTGCGAACTTTAGAGGCTCTCAATGGAATTGAAGAGTCGAACCCATTACTTCTGAAAAAAATCATCAATACATAGCGTACTTTCACAATTTTAACTGAAATACTGCTGGTCTAACCCAAGCCGTTTAATCCCCGATTCATATCAAAAGTTGTGATAACTTTCTCGTACATTAAAAACAAATTACTTTCTTACTATATTAATACATTTTTCCTCCAAGTAAAAGATGAGAAAACACACTCGTCTAGTGGAAGGTTTTTCCTTGATGTAAGACTATAAATTAGCGAAGATGGTGGGAAAGTTTTCCTTTTATCCAGTGGGTTAAAGTACTGATGTTAACAGAGTTTAACTGAAGGATATAGTTCATATAGTGCCTACTTTCGTTTTTAGCATTAATCTTAATGTGAACCTTACCGCGTGTAAATAAATCGCTTGGAATCCCCAAAATGTTCCACAGGATGTATGATTCAGCCAGAATACCGAAGACCACTGATAACACCCCGGCGGCGTGATTCAAAGCTTGTGCCCTGTCTACAGTCAGAAAAAAAACAGTCAGTGAAACAAAAGATTTTCTTTTCGTGATAGAAACCTGGTTCTTAATAGGTGTAAACAACTTGAAACGTATATAGCCAATAGAACCTTTATCTATGTGATGTCCTTGATAAAAATAAATACATCAACTCTCTTATTCAAACATATTTTTCTTTCAAAGGAGAAATATAAATACAGATATCATAAACTGTTTTAATTCGCTTCTTTTAAATTCTCTTTACTATTCTTTAAATAGCTCTTATACTCGGCTTCAATAAGTACAAAACAAATATGCTTGGTGTTTTCGATTTCAAACTGGGTGCTATCAAAGTAGAACGTCTATGAAAGGCCTGGATTCATAGAACCGCATCGATTCCCTATGGGTAACTGACTCAGATTTTACTTCGTCCTACGGTGATGAGAAATATATTTAAAACATTTTTCCCTCTAGCATTGCTTCATTGTGTTATATCGATCACAAAAGAAACGGAAAACAAACAAACAAAGCGAAAAAAAAGAAAAAAAAACAGCTACAAAGCAACATAAACGCTTAGCAAGTAACGAAGGAGAACCAAGGGTATAACTGCTATTTCAAATTTACTCCAGCTCGCGTGTAAAACATTTTTTTTTTTCTGTAAATGACTGTAAAAGTATGAAAATCATATATGTGAACTGCGTTTGAAGAAACGCCTTGTTGCAAGGAAACAGCAAAGTGCGAAAGACCTCCCCCCCTCGTGTGGCCTAGTAATGGTCACTGATCTTGTAAGAACTTCTTTATGCGGAACCGAGTAAGCAGAATCTGATATTCCGTTTCCGGTTTCATAATTGACTTAAGCAAAATATAAAACTGCTTTGTTCAGCAAGATAAAGGAATTTCACTTGAAGACTGTTCCTCTATCGTCTATTTCGGCGTGTGGGATTTTAATTAGATTTAAATCTGCCTGATAGAAATTGTTGGAAATTATTGTTTCCCTTAGTGGACTAGAAAAACATTACTGCAACTTATTTGGAGAGGATCTTTCTAGAAAGTTCTAGAAATATTTTTGTGTAGAAATGTGCTACCTCAGCAAATCGTGCGAGAGTCCCTGTGCAAAAGCGCCACGTTTACAGACACATGCGCAGTGGACACGACAGAGGTATCAGTGTCTATTCATCACGGAAAAAAATTACGTCATTCATAATTGTGAACCAATCAGGAAGGCGATTAGAAAAGAAGACAACAAATATGGCGGTCGTAGTGTGGAGACGCGTGTGCATGCATGTGAAAAGCAGTTTCGTCTAGGTTTGCAGAAGGGAATGGAGGATTTTCCTCTTTTCTTAAGAGAAGGCCTAATGATGTTTCAGTAGAAGGATGAAAAGTGCCCTAAAAGCGTCGGTAGCCTTGCAATTTATCACTTTAATGGCAGAGATAATTTCACTGGACGGGAATGGGAAATCGAAGGATGAAAAACCCAGTGGTTTGTCTGCTCGGAGTAGCTCGTGGTAAGGAGAAAAAGATTATGAGAGCACGTTATTGACCTTCCTTTTCATCTCTAAATTGATTCTTCTGGCGTTTTTTTTTTTAGTTCACTTGTAATAGTAAGTACGTTGGATGGGAAGTTAAGTGCGTTGGATACAAGAGATAATGGCAAGTTACTGTGGAGTTTACCAGCTTTCCACGGACCTCTGTTGTCATCCAGCCTGAGTTCAGTTCAGGTATTTTATAGATAAAGTTTTCTTCTCTTCCATATAGGTTTTCTAAATCTTTCAGCGTGGGCGGTGCAAGGTAAGTGTTAACTCTTGATGTAATCAAAGCAAACGGATGCATTATCCGTCGGATGAAACGAATTCTGTGCGAAAGGCGAGGGAATCCCCAGAGTGAAAAGTCAGAATATTTGCATTTGATTCTTCGATGCTAGCATTTGTGTGAACCAGACTACGTCTGATTTAATGCTAGTTCTATATTGTGCCCAACTCTCCCTTCATTAGGGAAGAGGAATTTTCTCCCAAATTAAGTGCTCCACCACACCGTCGCTGTCAAAATGTGCATGAGATTCTGACTTGTATCAACAAAATACCTCATGTACTTCCAAACTACTAGAAGACAGGTATACTCTAACAAAGTTATTCGCCAGAAACACAAATTAGGCTGTGAGTTTTGCTGTATGATAGCTACTTAATAAGATGTGCTATGTCATCATATTTTTACAGATGGCAAAACACGTGGGTCTGATACCCTCATTGGATGGTGGATTGTATCAAGTCAGTGGAGACAAAGTTGAGGTAAACATGATTAAATCAAACAGTAATCAGGTTCTCAGCTCAAGTACTTTTGAAGTGGTAATTTGGCAACCAGAAAGTTTGAATGGTCACCTGAAAGAAAAGTTTCATTGCCGGAAAAAAAGAAAAGAAAAGAGTGCTGTTTATAATTATATTTTATTGAGCACTCAGCCGTAAAAAAAATTGCTTGTCTCTGAAATATAGGATTATCATTGGCTCTCATATTTTTATTTTGAGTGGGAAGGAATATTTTAGCAACAAGTAAGGCTAAATACTCAGACAACCAACAAGAAAGAGACAATTTTTTAAAAGAAGAAAACCAGATAGTGTTAATAGTGTTGAATGCAAGTTTTTCGTCACTGTATACAATTGAAATAAGATAAAAAATATATATATATTACAGCATGTAACATGACTAGCAGATAAAGCTGGTTAAAGCAATGATAATCACTGATAATTTAGTTTGAAATAGGAAACTCTTTTCACATTTTGTGTACAAATTTCGCTTTCATTTTTGGACCTACGTTTTCCAAATATAGACTGTAATAATGCCTTTTTTATTGTGATGATTTGTTTAAGTCTTAAAAATCCATACAATAATTTATAGAGTTTTTCTATAAAGCAGTTGTAGAATTTTTCTGTCTAGTGGTTGTAAATGATTCTTTTGAAATGATACATGTACCTTAGATGAGAAGCAGAAAGCAAATAAACATTCTGCTATACAAAGCATCATGCACAGTGTGATACAACTTTTTATCATGTGACCTGTTTGGCCCAGTGTGCTTTTAGTGAAAAACATAATGGAAAAAAAAAATAGGAAGAAGGAAAGTTTTCTGCCTGGTTTTCTTTATCTGAATGGTCTTAGTTTCATTGGATGTACTTTAAGTTTTACAAATACTGATTTCAGTTTTTAATTTTCTATCCACAGCCCATTCCTTTCACTGCTGACACACTCCTTGGTTCCTTCCTAAAGCTTCCTGATGGTTCAATTTTAGTTGGTGGGAAGGAAGCCACTTCATGTGGACTTAATCCCTA